TCGCAAAAAAAGAAGAAAAAAAAAAACTGGTACAGCCAAAAGAAAAGCAGGTTCTCAAGGATATATGAGGCTTCTTCCCTCGTATATTCGAAAAGTTGTTCTGGGTAAAACACGATTTTTGCCTATACACATGTGGCACAGTTCTGTGCAGATATTTATTTGGAACTAGATGGCGCTCCCAACCCCATGGAAGGAAAACTGCAAAAATGGCAGCACATATACTGTATTTTTGCAAAGAAATATCAGAGACAAATTTTGCTTGCTTTCCCTTTATACTTGTCAACACTCTGAGATACATATTTTTTTTTGTTGGTAGCTTGTCCTAGTTCCAAGTGGCTTTACATGACTTGCCAACACTAAAATAAAATGATGTTGTTTATGGTCACATTTATTGTCCCAGTTACAAGTGGCTAATTTAAATAAGGGCTTCCCATCAGTCAGTCCAGTTTTCCTGGTGTTCAGAATTATACTTCTTTCTTGTTCCAGTTAAAATTGGACTTAAATTACTCATCATTGTCAGCAGCAGTTGGTCATGCAAACATTTCAAATTAAATAATCCAAATTTGATCATTCAGACTTGCCTCACTTAGTGCTTCTTAAAATATTTTTGAAGCAGTCAGTATAATGCAAGGAATTCCCTGCTGATGCATAACTGATATTTCAGGCTTATAATCTGAGTAAAGAATAAAAAAGATCATTTGAATTGGAAAATACAGTACTTACCATCAGCAGTCAGCAGAATATTTCTTGCTTGTCCTAGGCACAAGTGGCTTTCCAGCAGTAAGTCCTGCAAAAAATTCTCAGTAATTTCATACAAGATTGCCATTTCAGGTTTACTGTCTGAGTAAATTGTAAAATAAATTTTGAGCATCTGAGTGAACTGTAAAATTTATTCATTGAATTGCAAAAGTCCAAGTAAATTGAAAAAATAAATTTTAAAAGTCTGAGTGAACTGTTCAATAAATTGTTCAAGTCTGAGTAAACTGTATAAGATAAGCTGTAAAAGTCCAAGTAAGTGGAAAAAATTAATTGTAAAAGTCTGAATAAATTTTAGAACAAATTGTAAAAATCTGAGTAAATTATAAAATAAATTTCTAAAGCCTGAGTAAATTGGAAAGTAAATTTTGAAAGTCTGCTTAAATTGTAAATTTCCTAAATACACCTCACAGACAAGATACACACACACACAAGCACACCAAAGCCCCTCCCCTTTTTTGAAAGCATTAGCAGCAGTATAAGAGGACAGCACATATGAGGGAGGAAAGAAAAAGCGTTTTCTGGCCTGGAGGCAAGAAAAACATGCTCTTTTGTACGTGTGTGTGTGTGTGTGTGCATTGAGAAAAAGAACGCGTGACCCGAGATTTTTCTCTCCTCACTGCTTCTTTGCTCTCTGCTGTTTTTTTTTCTCTCCTTTATTTTTTATTTTATTTTGTGTGTGTGTGTGTGTGTGTGTGTATGCATTTAGTTTAGGGAATATAAGGAAGATACCCCGAGGGTGCCGTGCAAACGTGACCTGCCTGCAGGTGGGCCCCAGCTCTTCCTTCCCTTGCTTGCAGGTGCCACTCAAATCACCTGGTGTCAAAAGACCACTGGATGAAAAAAAAAAACAAAGAAAAAGAAACAATTCCATGCACAAAAAGATTTAAACTCAGAGCTTGGGTAAATTATAGTCACCAAGACTTGTTTTTTTTAATGCCACATAAATATTGGGTTATGCCTGCTTAAATAAAAAATATAAAGTAATTTCAGGAAGACCTTCATTCTGAAATTTTTTTCACATTTTTCAAAATGTGCAACAATACTTCGCACTCACAAATGATTTTCAGGGATTTTTGAGACTCTGATTAAATCTAGATCAAATTAATTCAAATTTCTCATGATGGGAAAGTTTTGGTAAATTTATCCTGAAATATTTTCTTATGTAACTAAAAAAAACACTGAAATGAAGCTCACCTTCAAAAATGGTCCATTTATGATGGATGCACCTGAATTGAAGCCACTCTTCAATTTATTTGAAGAACAATGAATACAAAGAATTAATAATAGAATAAAATAATATGAGACACACTGCCATCAAAAAATTCAGTATTTAAACTTTCATGAAAGAAATGTGTGACATTAACCTGAAATGCAAGATGCATTTAATTTATTTTCACTCAAGTTTCCTGATTTTTTTTAATGTGAACAGAATTGTCAGAAGTCAGGAGATCAGCTCATTTAAAGAACAATTTCTCTATAACAGTCAAATGTTTATAAGAGTTTTAAACAGAACACAACTTTCATTTCAGCCTGAAATTTTATCAAAATTTACCTCCTTTTATTTTTAAAATGTTTTTATTTCAAAAACAATTTCTCTATAAAAGTAAAATTTCTATATGAGTTGCAAACAGAACACAACCTTTATTTCAGCCTGATATACTATCAAATATTTACTCCCTTTATTTTTGAAAATGCTTTTATACTAAATTTCTATGAAATTTATTTCAATTAGTTGCAGCCCAAAATATGGCATTTAATTTTGCACCCAAGCAAGACACATGAGCTACTTGATTTTTAGGAAAAGAGATGGATTTCTGATGCCTTGGATTTGTGGTGGGACCCACAAGGATGAGAATGAATAGACAGCATTGATTAAGGGAAGGGACCAGTCAGAGAAGAGCCTCACGGCCAGGGAAAAAACCTTTTTTTTTTATGGGGACTTGATCATCAATCATGAGCCTGCAATTTCTCAGCAGTCACAGGAAGAAACAAGTAAAATACAAATGAGAGGCACAAAAAAAAGGAAACCAACCAACTTGGCCACAGGGAATATCACTGGGTTTCTTCATTCACATCCAAGGCATATATCATCACACTCCAAAAAAAAAATAACAGAGAAAACAACAGACAAATTAAGTTAAGAGTCATATTTTGGCAACAGGCTGGAGTCTGGCTCTGAGGTCAGACCTAAGAACAGACTCATTGGCTGACCAAGAGTTGCTGGTAACAGGGAAAACACTGGTCTTGGGGTTGATGAGACCCTTCCTCAGCTTGAGGGACTCTGTGGGGGCAATGTTGGTCTTCCTCAGCAGCTTCCTGAAGTCATAGGGTCCCATCAGCTCATCATCATCCTCATTTGCAATGGTTTTCAGGGGCACTGCTTGGGGTTGCCTTTGCTGTTGATGAGGGTTTTGGCTAAAAATCCCAGGGCCACTCATTCCTCTGCAAACACAATAACACCCACAGAAAATTGTTTATACAATTTTGATTTTTAAAAAAATGTCTTGTTTGATTGCTTTGGGTTCTTTTCACTTCAATTCCCAACAATCCCATAAAATCATTTTTTTACTGTGCATTAAAACAAATATGAAAAATTTTCTTCAATGGGAAAGAAGTCTTCAGAAGTGTTATGCAATGTCATGATTTTTTCTGGAATGCTGGGAAGGACACACAAAATTATTCAACTGCAGGAGAATATCTAAAGCTGAAATGGAGAAACCAATGCATTATATACAGTATCTTGAATGAAGTCAAAACTTAATTTCATGCAGATTCTGCATGATTCATCAGGCCAAAATCAGACCTTGAGACTTGATAATCTTTCTTGAATTTAAAAAAAAAGCTTAGCCTTCAGAAAATCTGTAATTTTTTTTTGTAAAACTAAGTTTTTGACCAAAACAAAGAAATATTCATGAGTTGGCAGTTGATTTCATTTTTGAATAATCAGTTGAACAATATATGCTATGGCACTCTATGTTCTTTTCCAGAATACAACTTTGCTGAAGTACAAAAGAAAGACTACATTTTCATTTCCTTCTCAGTTTGGTCATATTCAAGTAGAATTTTCTTTCATCAAAGAGGGGAGGTTATTTTGCAAGGATATTTTATAGCCATCAGAATAAAAATTTGCTGGTGTATCAAAGTTAGAAAACACTGAATAACTTTTTCTGATTTTAGTTAGTCATTGCACAAAAGCTGTCTTTTATTTTTGCAATGAAGTTGACCAACATGTTTTGAACCATTCAGAGAGTCAGTTCTTTTTATAAGTACAAATTGCCTGAGCTGAATAACAGACATTTTCAATTTCTTTTTTCAAGTTTTCAGCATGAAAGGGAGGAAAATTTTCTAAAATATGTTGCAGCTTTCAAAGAATTTTCTTTTTTATTTTAAATGCATGCATCTGAGCTAAACCAAAATTCTGAAATTCTCTGAGTTCTGATTTTGCCAAAATAGTTTGCAGCATTCAATGACATTTTCCTCTCTGAAACATAAACTCTCTGAGGTGATTACAAAAGAACAAATCTGAGTTTGGTTTGAGTAAATTTGAACAATTTTTTTTGGCATGAAGTGAGAGGTATTTAAGTTTGGTTTGAGTCAATTTTTTTGGCATGAAGTGAGAGATATTCAAGTTTGGTTTGAGTCAATTTGAACAAATTTTTGGCATGAAGTGAGAGTTATTTAAGTTTGGTTTGAGTCAATTTGAACAAATTTTTTTTGGCATGAAGTGAGAGTTATTTAAGTTTGGTTTGAGTCAATTTGAACAATTTTTTTGGCATGGAATTAGAGGTATTTAAGTTTGGTTTGAGTCAATTTGAACAAATTTTTTTTGGCATGAAGTGAGAGGTATTCAAGTTTGGTTTGAGTCAATTTGAAAATTTTTTTTGGCATGAAGTGAGAGGTATTCAAGTTTGGTTCTAGTCAATTTGAAAAATTTTTTTGGCATGAAATGAGAGGTTCTTTTTTTTTTTTGCAAAATATCCTGTTCTTTGTCACTGATGGATGAAGAGGGTTGAAGAGAAAAGAACCATAAATTGTCCTTTTGGTCTCACCATCATGTGCAGACAGACAGACAGGACAGACCAACCAGCCACCAGCATGCACACACAGAGCAGAAGAATGAGAAGAAGAAGAAGATACACAAACACAAAACAAAAACAAAAAATGGGAAGAAGGCATATAGAATAATTATAATCATGATCATCATCTTCTCCTTCAGGAGGCAACCATGCAGCGGGAAACTCGATGCAAATAGCGAACAGAGAGTTTAGAGGTCTTGAGAACCCTTTTCCCCACAAAGGTGGCCAAGCCGAACCTGGGGCCGAGTTTCCGGTCTTCACTGGCCCGCCTGTCCTTGGTGTCCTGCAGAACCCACTTTGCGGGTCTGATGGGTGTCATTAGGTTCTGCTGCTTTGAATCTTCTTCAGGTAACTGATGCTGCTGCTGCTGCTTTTTGGGAGGTGGGGTTTTGGGTTCTGGGGTTTTGGCTGCTGGCTCCATGCTCACTGCTGCTCTGGCAACCCTGTTTTTTTTTATAAAAAATACAAATAAAAAAATGATTTGCTGTCTTCAAGACACAAAAGATTTTTGTGCTAGGATAGAACAGTGTTGCCCAATAAAACTGTGGTTTTGCTGGTCTGTGGGAAATTTTCTTCAGCATAAAAAATAATAAATCAAAAGTAGCAATACAGTTTGTTATCTTCATTTAAAATTTTGAAAAGAAAATATGGCACTCAAAATTATCTGATGAAAAAATGAAAGTTGGCTTTTCTTCCAACAACACTTCAAAAAAATTTTCACTTGCTGAAATACATTATTTTAATTTTACATTCCAAGAAACCTTTCTTCAAACCCCTGTCCCTAATTTTTTGAAGACATTCCACTACAGCAGCTTCATTGGTTCTTATTTTAATTTTTGCACAAAAAGAATTTCTCTAAATACCTGTCATAAAATCTTGCAAGCAAAACCTTTTGCAAGTCTATAGAAATTTTATAAAACTTTGCCAAAATATGTCATGGAAATATTCTGGTCCCCAGGCCCAAAAGGGTTGGGAACAGTGAGATGGAAGATTTAAAAAGAAAGGTTTACTTCCTGGCAGGCTTGTCAGACTGGTTGGCAACCCTGACTGCTTTCTCACTGGCAGGGATCTTCACAGCTGGTCTCATCTGAGGCTGCAAAAAAAAAATAAAAGGTTTATTTCAAATTTTATTTGACAAGTGAACTTGGGGAATTGTTTTCCAGAGACTCACTGGTGACCTGGCTTTTCTTTTCTGCTGACCAGACTCCTGCAGGACCTGAGGAAGGTAATCAAATCCCTTTGGCCTGTTGTAGGAAGATGGCAGGGGTTTCAGGGCAAAGTCACCTCCAACTTTTGGGGAGTTTGTGGCCTTCAGGGCTGCATTCACTGCATTCCCAGAATCCCTCACCTACAAACAAAAAAAATTAATCAACATTCATTCCTGTTGATCAATCCAATGTACACATGCACTTTTTTTGTTGTTGAAATTGGCTAACTTTCATCCCCAAAAAACTGCTGGATCATAGATTCACCCAGTCCTGTTCCACTTCTTGATGGTTGTAAATCTTCTAAAAAAAATGCTACACAGGTATTTGAATATTCCCTGACTAAAGCTCATCCTTTTTAAAATGGTCAGAAAACAGGTTTGAAAATATATTGAGTTTACCTGCCAAAGTAATGCATCCCGTTTTATCAATTTCCTAGCATTCAGTCAATTATCAAATGCCCTACAAATGGCATAATGTCCAAGGTCTGAAAAGTAAAAAGTTGCCCACAGAAGTCTAGACTAAAATTGCACATAATTCCCAGCACCAAAATAAACTGACTTTCTGCCTTGTTTTTCTCCCAAAATTTCCAACTCAGACACTTGTACTCAAAATGCATACATTTCAAGACAGTTAAAAAAATATTGTATCATCTTGTACAATTTATTTTCCCTTGCACACCAGGATTTCTCTCCCAAGGACAAAAAATACCCCTGGCAACACTGATTAAAAGGTAAAGAAGAAGACCAATGGAAGGTGAACAAGAATTTGCCCAGAAGTCTGGACTGCAATTGTGTAAAAAATCTTCAGGAAAATAAACAAAAACTGTCTTTCTGTCTTGTTTTCCTTCTAAATTTCTCTCATCAAATATTGAATGTCCATGGACTCAAAAAGGCCTTCATTTCAATGGATTTCCCTCCCAGGCACAAATAATATCCCTGGCAACACTGAACAACTGGAACAAGAAAAAGACAAAAAAAAGGGAGAACAAGAATTTTCCAAAAGGTCTGGACTGACTGCAATAATATTGTTCAAAATCCTCAGCAAAAAAAAAATAAATAATTGCCTTCCTCAAGTTCTCATTTGGGCCTTCATTTAAATACTAAAACTGACAAAACTTCTGAATCATCCCTTGCATACCACAATTCCTCTCTCCCAAGGACAGAAAATACCCCTGGCAACACTGAAAAAACAGGAATAAGAAGAAAGACTCACATAAGAAGAGAAGTTGCTGTACTCAGACTCATAAAACTGAAATGATTGCAATGTGGTTCTGAAAGGAACACCATCAGCAACAGGAGGAGGAGGAGAAGGAGTAGGAGCAGCAGCCTCAGGGTGCTGCACAATGCCAAAGACCTTGCTGAGGAATTCTTGGTAATTTGGCTCAGCAGGCTTCATCAGCATTATTATATATTTTTTCCAAAGTGTGCAGCATATGTCACCCAAGAAAAAAACAAAAACAAATACAAGTGCTATGTTAAGTTATGAAAGACATATAAGACAGAAGGGGGGAAAAATAGATTTTCAAGGAAGGGAACCACAAAACTACAGTACAGTATAACACACAAAAGGAAATGTGTCTCAAGCAAGTCATTATACCTGCTGGGGCTTCTTCTGCTTCTTGATCTTCTTCTCAGGGCTTTTCTTGAGCTCCTTGGTTGACTTCCTGGTCCTGTAGCCTCTGAAAACTGATGAAAAAAACAAACCAGGATTAGAACATGACTCTTCTTTATTTTAGCAGGAAAAAGATATTTATTTTGCACACCAGCTTGGATCTTGGTGGCAGCTTTCTGAAGGTTTCCTTTCTCCTGAGCTGCCTTCTTAGCAGCTAGAATCATTTGATGCTCTCTGAGTCTCCTAGAAAACACTCTTTTTGCCAACCAGCGCCTGACACATGCCTGTATCAATACCACTTTTGCCACCTGCGCCAAATATGAAAGAGAGGGAGGGAGAGAGAGAAAGAGAGAAATCAGCTCTATTATCAAACAACTGCAACAAAATTCAAAATATTTTTGCTGAATATTTTGGTCCATTCGAAGTCTTGAAGTACAAATTGGCTGAGCTTAATCAAATTTATAGAATGAAATTTGAAGAATAACATTTCAGGAATTAAATTAGATAATTACATCTAAAACTTACCTTTGAAGAACTGAATTTGAAAATTTTCAATTTGAAAATTTAAATTTGAAGAATTATATTTCAAGAATTAAATTTGAAGAATTACATCTAAAGAATTAAATTTGAAGAATTACGTTTAAAGAAATAAATTTGAAGAATTAAAGTTAAAGAATTAAACTTATTAGTAAATAAATCATAAGAATTCAATTTCAAAAATTAGACTTAGTACAGTAATATAATTTAAAGAATTAAATTTAAAGAATTACATTTGAAGAATTAAACTAATGTGAAGCAATGTGAACTAATTAATGTGAAGCAATTAATGTGAACTTGATAATGAAATTTGTAAAATTCAAATTTTGTCAACAACAAGAAGAGGACTTGCCATGGAATCAAACATGGCTGCCAGCTGCTCCATGTGATAGTACTTGAGGAACACTTTGGTCTCACCCATGGCAAAACCACGGAAATTGAGTCTGGTTAGCAACCTGGCACTGTTTTCTTTGTCTGCCAAAATCACTTCTGACCAGCCAAACCCGAGGAACCCGTACCTATATATATAAAAAGCAAACCAAAAATATAATAAGTTTAAAACAAAGGAGCCACACAATTAAAATCCTCATGTTCTGCACAAAAAATATATAAAAACTTCCCTCAACTCCAATTTTTTTTTCAACCAGAGTCTGTGCCTTGAAAACAGTTTTTGGACACCCAGTAATTAAATATTATATAAAAATAAGCAAATACTGTATAATCATTTCTCAGCTTAAAAAAAGCTCCAAAATTTTTTTCTTCTTTGAATCCCCTTCAAATTTGACTCCAACAATTATTTAAAAAAATATAAACACTCCAAAAAATGGGGAAGTAGTCAAGAAATGTTCAAACATCAATATTTTAATATAAAATTTGTCTGTCTGAAAAATAAGCAACTTAAAATTGACACAAAATTGAAATCTTTCACAAAATGGTAAAGCAGTCAGGAAATATTAAAATATCTACATTTTTTCATTTACAAAATGCTGCACCTGTTTAAAAAAGGTAGCAACTTGAAATTTTCAAAAAAAAAGTAAAACTTCCATAAAATGGCAATAAGTATTCAAGTAATATTTAAACATTTTTACATACAAAATGTGCCTGTCTGAAAAATAAGAAACTTGAAATCATCACAAATTTTCAAACTTTTACAAAATGGAAAAGCAGTCAGAAAATTTTCAAAAATCAATATGCTTCCCCTAGCTAAGTGTTCCTGCCCCCAAAAAAAGGAAACCTTCAAGATACTCTTTCTTGTTGTTGCAATTAATGAAAAAAAACCTGAAAACCTAAAAAAAAACTTGGACAGGTGTCTGTCCAAGAAAAAATTGGCAGAAAAATTTATCCCTGCTTCAAAAAATGATGAAGCAGCAGTCAGGAAATGTGCAAACATCAATATTTTTTCAACTGTCAAATTGTTTTTGTCCAAAAAAAATCAATATGCTTCCCCCTTGCAAAATGTTCCTGTCCCACAAAAAAAGGCAACCTTAAAGATACTCTTTTTTTTCTGTTGTTGCAGCAATTAATAAAAAAAATAAGCTAAAATCAGAAGAAGAAAAAATACAACAACAACAACACAGGACAGACAAAAAAAAACAACCTCTTGAGAAAGACGTCATGAGGGATCCTGTGAGAGAAGCCCTGTTTCCGGATCTGGACAGTCTCCAGCACGCCGGTGTACTGCAACTGGGCCCGCACTTTGGCCCTGTCGAACATGGCCCTGCTGCGGGCGTCGTTGGGCTTGATGCAGCGCACGAAATGCGGCGCCCCCGCCACCATCTTTTGCAGGAGGTCCATGAGGGAGTAGCGGAAATAGGTGGCCATGGTTTGCTGGGCTCGGGTCTGGGATGCCAGGGCACTCATGCTGCTGCTGCTGCCAAACTTGGGCATCTGTGCAAAAAAAAACAAAACCATCAAATTCACATTTTGGCATGCTTATTGGTTTAAACTTTAAAACATCAGATAGGGTTGGAGAGATTTCTTTAAAGTTCCCCCACAAAATTCACAGAATGGTGAATTAATCAGAATATTTTCAGATGTCATTCATTTTTTCCTTGCAAAATTTGCTACTTGAAATTGGCACAGCATTTTGAAAAAATAACACATACTTTTCACAATGTACAGTACATAATTTTCATACAATAATAAGGCAGTCAGAAAGTGTTCAAATGCCAAACTGCAGTATTTTTTTTCCTTGCAAAAGGTGCCTGCCAAAAAAAATTGACACAAGATTTTCACCCTTTCCCAGAAAATAAATTGGCAAAAAATTGTATCACTATCTGAAAAACTTTACAGCACAATAGGCTGGAAAGTTTCAAATGCCACTACTTAATTTTCTTACAAAATGTTCCAGCAGAAATATTTTCAACTTTAAATTGGCACAATATTACAACACTCTTTAAAAAATTGTAAAATCAAATTTCATTTTGCAGTATATTTTCCCAAATAAAAGGTGCCTGTCCAAGAAAAAATTGGCAGAAAATGTTATCCCTGCTTCAAAAAATGATGAAGTAGTCAGGAAATGCGAAAACATCAATATTTTTTCCACTATCAAAATGTTTTCATCCAAAAAAATGACATGTTTAAATAGGCAAAAAATTTCATCACATCACAAAATGCTGAAGTATTCAGTAAATGCTCAAATATAACTCCATGTTTACTTTTCAAAATGTGCCTGTCCAAAAAAAATGAATGAGTAACTTCATAAAACTGGACTCCAAACAACAACAAAAAAACCAGTTGATGTCCTCTGGAAATTCACAACAAAAGCAATTATACAGCACACACACCTCCAACCCAATCATGTGAAAGTCCTCAGCATTCCCTGAAGAACCCCCAGGGGTGTATTTCCCCTGAACCTGGTTATGTTGCCCCAGGGCAAAGAGATTGCCAGTCCTGGCCAGGGGGCACTGGAACAAGTACCTAATGACCTCCAACTTGCTCTGCCTCAGCAAATGAATCACTTCAGGAGGCAAAAAGTTCCTGTTCTTCTCCAGAAAGTTCCTGCCATTGTACTGCACCTTCCCAGCATAATGATGGATGCTGAACTGCAAGTCCTCTGACTTGGACTTGATAAAGTATCTGCTGCGCACATTGTGATTGAATTTACCTATAATAGAAAAAAAAAATTCAGATGAACTCAGAACATTGTTCCACATCATGATGGCTCTAGAAATGTTGTTTGCCAAGACAAGAAAACTTCATCTTGACTTTACGGAAGCTCTTCAAAACAACAAAAGGTAGAATTTCCAGAGTTCTCTTTTTAACCAAGTTTATTTGCATGCAAAAGAAAATATTCCCAGATGTGAAATTAATTTCTGCAAGGCTCAAACAAAATTTCTACACTTGGCCCCCAGCACATACTTACCAACCAATGACCTGGGGGTGGCATTGGGGAACCTGCTTTCTTCATCCAACAGGGCCAGTAGTCCCAGAGGCTTGGACAGAAACATGTCCAACACTGGCCTGTTGTCTGTGAATTCCACCAAGTCCACATTGATACCCTCTGACAAGTACTCCTGCACAAAGGTGGAGAGAAACAAAACAAAAAATGCATCAGGACATTTCTTGCAGACTAAAAATACATTTTGTGAAAATGGTCTGGTCTGGTCCATCCAAATTGGCCAGCCTTTTTTTTTTTTTTTTTGGCACCCACCTGCTGCTCCCAAGAGAACACATGCTGGTTGAAGTAATACTGTATCTGCTCATTGGCAATGTTGATGCAGAGTTGCTCAAATGAATTGTTGGGGAAGTTCTCAAAGCCAAATATATCCAGGATCCCTATGGACAAGTGCTGCTGATCCCTGCAAAAATCAACCATAGACCAAAAACCTCAGTCAAACATATACAGTATACAAAATATCATGATAATGCCTACCTTTGTTGGTGTCCAATATTGGAACTGAGCACCAGCAACTGGTTCATCTGCAGTACCAACCAGTCCACTAGTCTACCATACAGTGCCTTGGCAGTGGCATGACAAGTGTCCCTGGCCTCATGACAAGACAGTCTTCTATGAATGGTCTCTCCTCTGGTGACCACATTACTGGTAGTGATGGCCTCCAGAGTGTCCATGGGACTCACACCCAGCAACTCACCAACTGTCAATGTCAAATGAGAAACACCAAATGGTCACTCTTCTGTACACAGGGGATACCTTGAAATTCAACCACCCCATAATTTTTCCATCCAAAAATTCAGCAGTCAAATTTTTTGGGAGGTCAACTTGCAATTTGACCCATGTGCAGAGAGATTCAAAATGTCAAACACAATGTAGAAAACATTGCATTTCCCCGAGTGCGGAAATTGGTGCACACTGGGGATTTGTTTGTAATTCTACACAATGACCCTGCTGTGCACCTGAAGTGTACCAAAGTTCTTCTGTTGCACATGCATATCCCCAATGTGCACCAATTGTGTGTTCACGCCAGGATTACTCAGGGTCACATTTGTAAGCAAATAAGTTACACCGAGGTTACAGTTGGTGCATTTGTGTGATGCTCCTGTTATTTCACGTTTGTGCACCAAGTGTAACCCTGGAATGGTAGCAAAATTTCCTCTACAGGAGTGCCCACTTGTACCCCCAGAATATCCCATATGCTCCAGTTGTGACCCTGGTGTGCACCTACTGTGGGGTCACAGCAAAAAATAGCTCCCCACTCGGGTTGATATTGCCCAGCAGTGGATCATGGTCAAATTGCATGGGTACCACTTGTGGGACCAATCCACAAAGGTTTTTGGACTCACTGATGCTGATGAGTGCAGGGTTGGTAATGCAGCATCCAGAGTCTGCAAAGTCTCTGGAAGGTGCTGTCTGAATACTCAGGTCACCAATGTGGAGTATAGCTGCCAAGAGTCTGTTCACACAGTCCACTTGTCCTGGGGAGAAGCCCAGTAGTCTGAAACTCTCCTGCACAGCCAACCACTTCCTCACACTTGCCTGCACACATACCAAAAACCAACTCAGCACTCATGATCAGCCATCAAATTGGACAATCCAAACACACACACAAACCTCAACAGTGTGTCTGGCAGAAGAGTAACCCTGCAGGTAGTTGTGACTGGTCTTCCACAGAGGGTCCAAGTGGTAGTTGCCCAACTTGTTCTCTGCTTCCAGACCATCATAGAGGTAGTAGAAGATGTGGAAGTTCCTTTCATTGCTGTAACCAAAGACAAAAAAGAGGCAAATACTTGAACCATCACCAAACCATGAGTGACAAGACACTCTTTTGGTGTGTGACCTCTACCTGTCTTGGTGGACCACTCTGGACTGCTCCAAGAGGTACACTGACACCTTGGCACCCACCACATTCCCTGAGGGGGTGAAGGTCAGGTCCACATACTTCCCAAACCTGTCATAAAGATCCATTTACATATACAGTAATTCAAGTGGCACATGATTTTTGACAGTAGGACACAGACCTGGAGGAGTTGTCATTGATGCCTGTCCTGGCATTTCCAAAGGCCTCCATGATTGGGTTCACCTGCAGGATCTTTTCTTCCAGGTTCTTGTTCTGTCCCTGCAGTCATTCAACATACAATTTTAGCTAATCTTTTTTAAATTCAAAATGGGACTGAAATAGACTCACCCTCCCAAGATGCACAAGTTGTTTCAGCAACAAATTGGCACTCTCAGTCTTCCCTGCACCACTTTCCCCACTGATGACCACACACTGAGAATGCTGTTCATGAATCAATGCAAAATAGGATGAATTGGCAATGGCAAATATGTGGGGAGGTTCTGAGGCCTTTTGTATCCTGCCTTGGTATCTTTGACTGACCTGTGTGGCACAAAAAAAATAACAACAGTATTAAAAAACATAATTTATATTTAATTTCCAATTTAAAAAAAAACCAACTTGGTCATTGTAGATGTCCAGTTCCATGAATGGGTTCATGGCCAGAAGAATGTCACCAATGTAGGTGTAAATCTGTCCTTTCCTGAACCTGGTCTCCAGGGCATCTATTATCACATCCTATAAGTATAGTCACAGGCCATAAAACATTTTCCAAATATTATCCTGACTTCTTTTGGAAATATAAAATTGAAATTTTGCAACAAAAACACAGTCACATACTTCTGTCAGGCACTCCAACATTGCCAAGTCCTGAACCACAACAGGGTCAGGTCCCATCCTCTTGACAGTCCTCAACTTGCCTTGTTTCATGGTCACCTCAGCCTCTCTCTTGACCACCTCACCATCACTACTCAGTTTGCCCAACTCCTTTTTCAACTCTCTTTTGGCCTAAAACACATCAGAGTATAACTTGTAGTTGTCACAAATATTATTATTATTATTATTGAAGCAAGAAGGACCTGGTGCTCAAGGCCATCAATGTCCTTCAAGAAAGGGTGCTCCAAAAGTTGCCTCATAAAGGGCCTCATCTCAAAGTCCTTCACCAGACAAGTGGCCACAAAGTCATTGAACTTGGCTGACCACTGTGAGGGGTCTTTGAGGCCAGGTGGAGGCTTCCTGGGAATCTGGACACAACCCAAAGGTATTATGAGAATATTGAGAAAGAGATCACCAGACAAGTGGCCACAAAGTCATTGAACTTGGCTGACCACTGTGAGGGGTCTTTGAGGCCAGGTGGAGGCTTCCTGGGAATCTGGACACAACCCAAAGGTATTATGAGAATATTGAGAAAGAGAGACAAATGTAGGTATGGTTTATCCTGACCTGGAACAGGGCTCTCATGGGATGTATGTCTGACAATGGTGGGTCACCATCAGCCAGTTCCACAGCTGTTATCCCCAGGGACCACACATCACACCTCACATCATAAGAGTAGTCCAGTTGC